GATTCACATTCATTAAAGCGTGTGCTTGCGTGCTTTAGCTGATGTTGGCGCGCGCGCTCGAAGCCTATCTGTGCCATATATGCGCCCTATATACCATCACGTGAAGCTTGAATCTTCCCCCCCGTCAATTCACCTGCTGGGCTCGGCCGTCAAGGCGAGGCAAGCGTCAACACGTACGCTCCCACACTGGAACTTGCAAGGTGTGAGCGATCTGTATACCCTCGCTCTGGCAAGGATGAATTGCCTTGCCATACGCCAGCCAGTCGAGTGCCGAGTGGCGGATCAGCAGCCATGCACGACTCTGACTGCACGATGCAGCAACTTGTAACATGCCCGCACGGCTGGTCTACCTGGCGCCCTCCTCTCGCAAACTGCCAAGTCGCGCGGTCAGAGAGGTCCGGCCGCGCACAACAAGCCCCCGCTTCGAGCTCCTCTTTTTCACACACCTCACAATCGATCTAAACGCGACGCCATCTTTCTTTTTCCCTGTTCGCATGTGTGTGTAGCGGATGGAGAGGCGCGAGACCCCGCGTGCCTTTTGTCGTACCTGTATCCCAACCTCAGAGATCCGCTGGCCCGCTCGTGACGGCGTCGAGGCCGTCGACCTAGCCCAGCCCAATCACGCACTCCTGCAACGCACGCCTGCATTGGACTAAATTGATACATTTCGACAAGGTAGACAAAGTAAAGTAGTCTAAGCTCACCCACAACAACCACGTCTTTTTGTACCATAGCGAGAGCTTTGCGGAGGGAAAGTGGGCGGGGAAATTTTGCAGCGAATTGGACAAATCGTCTGGCAATCTCGAAAGGCCCTTGCTGATGACAGGCAGGCCAGGTGCCGTGCCAGCCACTCGGACCCGAGGAAAAAGAGGTGCAGCAGCACGATGCCTTTGCGAATTTGCTTCTCTTTCACGTGGAGGACCTGCTCGCTACTTCAGCCTCCCTTCGCCTTGCACACTCTGCTCCTCTCCACCTGTTCATCTGCCACGCTTCAGCTGACTGATCACCCAAGCGCAGCCCCCATTCCCCCCCACACACGGCCCTCAACTTCATCAGCCCAGCTTCCGCTCACTCCGAAACCCTATCGTAAGCCCAAATCCTCGCGTTGAAATCGCCGCTGCCCGTAGCTAGCAGGTTGCCAGCCGGCGACAAGTTGATGGCAATGACGCTGTTCTTGTGACCAGATAGCACAAACTGCGCTTGGCCGGATCTGGGATCCCAGAATTGCACGCCACGGTCTTTGGAGCCGGATGCGACCCAGTGGCCGTCTGGAGAGCATGACACGGAGAGAACATAGTCCTGCAAGGTTCGGGCGGGTCGACGCGAGCGAGCGAGCGATCATCAGCATCTGCAGCAGCGCTAAATGCAGCGCCTGGAGACGTACCTTGTGACCGAGCAAAGTGGATGCGCAGGTGGCCTTCGAAGTGCGATCTTCATCGTCTGTAGAGTGGCTCTCCACAGCCCTTGCAGTAGCAGTGAGGTCCCAAATCTTGAGTGTCCTATCCAAAGAGCCGCTGACCAAGCTCTTGCCATCGGGTGCGAAAGCAACACTGTAAATGCTATCCTTGTGTCCCTTGAGCTTCTCTAGCTGTTGGCCCGTCTTGGCGTCCCACACCCTGACCAGCGTGTCGAGCGCTCCAGCGGCTACGAGCCGGTTGTCTGCACTGATGCTGACGCTCGTCACGCCCGCCTCGCTGGGACCGTGCTCCAAGTTGGGGCTCGTGTACAGCACGTGCAGGCACTTCCCGCTTCCCACGTCCCAAATGCGCACGCTCTTGTCTCCGGATCCACTGGCAATGATTCGTCCGTCCCTGCTAAAGTCGAGGCTGTAGATTTCTTGCTTATGCCCCGCAAAGACGTGCTTCACCTTCTTCTTTGCAATGTCCCATATCCTGATCTGCCGATCTTCTGCTCCAGTCGCCAAGAATTGACCATCCGGAGAGAAGCACACCGAGCGAATGTACAAGTCGCCCCGTTTGTTCGTCTGCTCCGTCAGGACGCAAGTCTTGGCACCAGTCTTGGTGTCGTAGATCTGAGCGCTGCGGTTGCAACCAGTCGCCAAATACTTTCCATCAGGCGAGAAGCGAACGCAGCATACAACGCTGCCGTTCGTCAAGAACGAATCGGGGATTGTCAACGTGAGCAGACCGAAGGGCAGTAGTGGATCGCGCTTTATCGTCACTCACCTTTCGTGCATGAGCGTGTGTACTAGATTCACATCCAGCATACGCTTCACTTTGGGATTGAAGATGGCCATCCAATCGCTGCCTTCCTTTTTGAGGTCCTTGGGAATCTCATCGGGATCCATCTCGCTCAGGTTTGCGAGACTGGCGTTGCCAGCAGCTGGACCCGGGCCGGGACTTTGCGCGTCTCGCGAAGGCGGATACGCGCCCGAGGGCATGTGTGATGGAGGCCCAGGGTGATAAGGCGATGGCGCTGAGCTACCTGCAAGACGTCGGTACAACCGAGGGTCGAGAGTCAGAGGTCGGAAAAGGTTCAGCCTCGAGAGTGATCTTCATTGCTCACCTTTGCCATAGGATGCGCCTGCTGGAGGCGGTGCGATGCTAGCAGGACCAGAAGGAGGGGCAGTAGGAAGATGCGGCGGCGGCCCGCCAGCACCTCCAACAGGCGCAGGAGGAGGTCCGCCCCTCTCGCCGCCTGCGGGTAGGGGTCCGGATCCGTCAGGCGCCCCTCCTCGCGCATCCAGCAGCGCGCGCAACCTCTTGATCTCCTCCTCATACCTGCCGAGGCGAGCCGCAGAGGGGAAGCTTGAGGTGAGTCGGTGAACGCCATCGAGAGTGTCAGCCAGCACTTACTGCTGTGCCATGGAGCTGTGCCTGTTTTCGAGATCCATTATGTGTTGCTGCATGACTTGCACCTCAGAAATTTGTGCAGATACTAAGAGGGGGAATGTGTGCATGGATAGTCAGCGCCGGGTAGCGTACGCTGCATCTCCTGAATCCAGAGCACAGCCCTTCGTCGTCACCGTGCACCACTTTTGCTCAGAGCACTCACGCCTGTGTTCAAATTCGTCGCGCTGATTCTTGAATTGCGTCGCATCATTCCCAATCACTTCAAACTCGTGCTTGACGAAATCCAGCAAGTCGTTCAATCTGGCGGTGGATGCGCTGGGCGGAGCTGCTGCAGGTGGTCCACCGGTAGCCGCTGGCACCAAGCTTCGATGATTGTAGATGTTGGACATGGTGAACGTAGCGCCTGTATGCTATGCCTGGTGCTATACGCAGAGATGGAACGCCGTATCTCGAAGGCCGCAAGACCAGACTTTGTGCGCTCGAATGACTGGCTCGAGTCTCGTCGAGTATGGATGGAGCGCGCGTGATGAGCGAGACCCGACGCGCGCTCTACTGGGATGCTCGTCTCTCTCTGAAGCCCGATGGCCGTGCGGAACGAGCTTCAAGTCCTTTCCTCGACGAAAACTGTAAGCAGTGAGATGCTGCGCGAGATGCTGCTCGGAGCTGCGTATCGAGTGACTGCACCTTGCCCGAGCAGTCACAAAGTCAGGCAAGGCCTGAAAAGCGCAGAGATTCTAGCTTGCGAAGTTGACAAGGAGGCAGTAGTTGGTGTTTAGCCAGAGGGCGGAGAGCAAATGGTTTCAGCGCTCGCGTGACGATGTGGAAGAAGCGCGATCACAATCGGCGTGATGCGATGCGATACGATGCGACGGGACGGGACGCGGACCGAATGAGAATCAAGATGTGGTCGACGAGGAGTGGATGCAGGGTGGGTGAGCAGCCATAGCAGCAAGAAAGTGTCAAAATGAAAGTCACGGGTCACGAGTCAGAGTCACCAGTCGTGAGTGTGCTGGTAGCGACGGCGCGAGATTCGATTGCGGTCCCTGCGGTGCCGCTGTTGCTGCGTGCTGCTGGTTGCAAAAGCCCGGGTGATCGCGCATGCATGCATGCTGGCCGCCGTGGCGGCGCGGCGCGGCGCGCGCACGCGCGCGCGTAGACTCGAATCAAATCAAATCACGAATAACGAATGGTGAATCAAGCACAAATCGAAATGAATGTGAATCATCGGGTATCGAATCGCGTGTGGTGCGCGCGTGCGTTCGTGCGGGCGCAAAAGATCGCATCGCCTCTTGCCTCGCGCCATAATACGCGCAGGCATCGCACGCGCCTGTGCTGCAGTCAAAAGTGCAGCATGGGGGAACTGATGCAGGATTCATTCACGTCGCTGCGCAAATCAAAAGGCAAGCGCGGCCAGCATGCTCATGCTCATGCTCATGCTCATGCACCGCGTTTGGGCTCACGCGCCGCGGATGGTCCGGGGCGTCGTACGGTACCATACGCGGTACCTGCTAATGTATGCCGCCGTTGCATCCGAATCACTAATTAAGGCCGCCCGTGGCGTGGGGGAATGAGACGCATACAACATCGTGCATGTACGCTACGCGCACTTTTGACCGCTTCGCTCGATCCAGCCCGCCACGTCGCGCTCTTCCTCCTGAAACGCAAGATGTCGCTCGCTCTCGGTAAGGTATACGATACGTACGTGCTGTGGCTGCAGAGCTGCCCTCGATCACCCTCATCGCTCCCGCATCGCCGCATCGAAGGCAAGGGCCGATGGCATCATGTGCGTCCGCATGCAAATTGTCGTTGATGATGTACCCACATGCGCGTACAAGTCGTTGGAGTAGTAGGTACAGCATTCATAGTCGTGAGTATCCCTATACACGCGCGGTCTTGGCCGAGACCCATGCACGCGTCAAACCGCGATCAGGGTGCCGATCATCCTGCTACTCGTGACTGATGTACCGCATGCTGGCCCGGCCTAGCCCAGCAGCCACGCGCGGGTGGCCCTGTGCGCGCTTCGTGAGGTCAAATCGTACAGCAGAACTCTTCTGCCCGCCCGAGCGGTAGCCGAGCTTCACGACTTGCCCTCGC